GTACTGCTGATCACTGCCTCCCCTACTGGTTGCCTGCATCGGAAAATGGCTTTTCCCTCTGGGGAGAAGATGACAGAACACACATGTGACAGATGAGTAGAAACATTGCTTAATGCACTATTGGAAGGCACTCAGATACAATGGTGATATACATGGTATAAAAACCTATATAGAATAGAATGGGGCATTTGGAATGAAAGCTGGATCTCCCGCAGCACAGTGCAGTAACTAAATGGCCAACAGGACAGCTGTGAAAAGACATTCCTATGTCTCCTGTTTCGATGATCCAAAATTTGATCTTCAGAGAAGGTATGTCATGGTTTGGATGGCTACAGTACCTGTCTATTAAAAAAATATTCAGGTTCAAATTCCTGTCCTTACAGAAAAGTTTCCTGGATTTTAATAGAGAAGAATATTTTTTTTCTATAAAGTTTTTGAAGGATTCAACGGAATTCTATAGCAGGAATAAGTTTCACTATTAAATTGAATATATTGGTTGGAATAAAAATGATATAGAAAGGATCTCATTTTCTATTAAAGTCTATACGTTTTTTAGAGTAATTTCTATACAAAGCCATTGCTTTTGCTCCATTAAATTCTATAGGACTTTTGCATAAAGATATTTATTTTTCCTATAAGCAATTTTGCTTTGCATCTAATCTTCCCAGAAGTGGGAATAATTAGGCAACCTAACAGGAGTTCAATTTAAATGTTATCTGGATTTTTATTGCAAAAATTACTTGTGTGTCAATGGAAGTTTTCTTTTCTGAAGGCCAAATCCTCAAGTCCCTACTCAGGCATAACTCCCATTGGTTTCAGGAGGAGTTTGCAGGATTATGGACCTCAACATATGGCCCATGGTAAATAAACAAATTGGAATGTTCAGTGTACTGACATAATGTGAGTAATCTCGTTATCTGACTCCTGGGTAATTTAAATGGCTCAGCTCATTCTAAAACATGTTTTTGCTGAGGAAAAGGATGGGCTTTTACCACTCTCAAACCCAAAGAAGTTACTCTAAATAGCTATAACATCTGTTGTTGGGACACTGTCAGTTCAATGGCTGTTACACACTGACATTACTGTTCAGGCCATCATTTTAGCTAGCATGGCAATACTTTATCAAATGCAAAAATGTCACACACTAACCTTCTTCCCAACTCCTGGTATCGGACAACAAGCTAGAAAGGTATTAATAACTTAGGAATGTCCTTAATGGGGTCGTCTGTTCATTAAACCATAACAGTGAGAAAAGAAAGTGGTGCTTAGTTGCATTATTCTTGCAACAAGGCCAGCTGCTCTACTGCAGGCTCCTCTCAAATACTGTTGTGGAGTGAAAACCCTCACGCTGATCTGGCTGTCAGTTAGCTCAGCAACAGTGGTGGTCACACTGAAGAAAAAAAACCCAGGTAGACAAACCCTATTCAGGATAAGGGGACTACCCTGGTGCTACGGTTTAGGATTAAAAATTTACTGTGCATCACCGAGAGAGACCCTCCAATAGAGGTGCCCAAACCATGCCTAACCAAAGCCTGCATTAGAAAATTGCCAAGAGACCAAGTTACAGTACCGCTTGTCACAAAATGGAGAAGATTGTACTCACAATGAAGCAGCTACAATCAAAAGTGGAACCAACTGAGCCTACAGCTCTTAGTATGCAATGCTCCCATTCACAGTATCCTGGCCATATGCACTTCCATGTTGAGATAAAGGTGGGAAGAAATGAGCTCCTGGATTTTATTCCCAGCTCTGCCACAAAGTCCCTATATGAACGCAGCCAAGTTACCGTATATACTCGTTCCTAAGCCGAATTTTTTTAGTAAAAAAGGGAAGCACCACAGAAGGGGGTCGGCTTATGAACGGATATAGAGAGAAAAAGTGGGACACAGCCCCTCCCCGCAACAGAGGGAGCAAGGAGAGGCAGCACAGCCAGAAGGGAAGAGTGGGGCCAGAGTCTCTCTGCTTCGGGCCATGCTGCTCTCCCCCCAGCCTCTGAAGCAGCTGCAGCCCCAGGGCTGGCAGGCTGCAGCCATGCCGCTCGGCCCCGCCCCTCAGAGCAGGCTGTGGCCGCACCGCCCGGCCCGCCAGACCACGCTGTGGCCACGCCGCCCGGTCCAGCCCACTGGAACATGCTGTGGCTGCGGCGCCCGGGCTGGCCCGCCCGAGCAGGATGCGGCCCAGGCGC